GGCTAAGTGTCCAGGGTCCCACAGCTACTAAGTGCCTGATGTAAAATTTGAACTCCAAGCTCAGTGCTTTCTCCACCTAGCTGCCTCAAGACAATACATTCTAGGGGCAGCCAGGTGGCACAATGGTTAGAGCACCGGCCCTGAAGTCAGGAGGACCTGAGTTCAAATCTGGCCTCAGACCAAACACTTGACACTAGTTGTTTGACCCTGGGCAAGTCACTTAACTCCAATTGCCTTAAAAAAAAGTAATTAATAAAAAAAAAGCCAATACATTCTACTTTTCATTTTATATTAAGTTGAAATCTGCCTCTGCCACTTGCACTCAATGCTCTAAGTTCTACCTTTTCAGAAGTGGGGTTGTGGCTGGGAGGATAGGGGAAACGACAATCAGAACAAATCTGATTCCCCTTCCTCATGACAGCATTCAGATATTTGAAGGTAGTTCTTGAGGCCTCCCTAAGTCTTCCCTTAGTTCCCTCATTTATTTCTCATATGACATTGACTCCAGTCATCTCACTGTTCTCTTTGTTCCTCTCTGATACACTCTCGTTTGTAAACGTCCTTCCTAAAATGTTCATTCCCTCAGCAACACTGCATCAGGGAAGAGCAAGCCCACTATCAGTCAACGTAGCAGAGCATTCTTTGGGCAGCTGCCATCTTGGGACGTCCGGTAGGGAAGTTACCTTCACATAGGAATAGAGACAGAACTGGACCCGTGATTTCACTGGCACTGGGAAATCCCAGAGGAGGAAACTCCCTTTATCTTCTTCTCAGCAACTTATTTTCGAGAATTACCTTGAGCACTGAGAGTGAGAGAGAGAGATGCGTGACTTACCCTGAGGTCATAATGCCAGGATATGTTGGAGGTGGGATTTGAATCCAGCTCTGTCTCCACTGTCTCTCATACTCTGACATGCACTGTGCTAAATCCCAGGCTCTTGACATGTTGCTAACAACTCCATCCCTGCCTCACCTCATTGGATTGAGTATTCTGGTGATCTCCAGCTTGACTCTGGTCATGACCATCTCTGGCTATGACTTGGATCCTGCCTCCAAAGAGCTGTTCCCTTCAGCCCTATGGAATACTTTTATTCACCAGCACCATTCAACCCTAGGCCCTATTTCCAAGTAGCTGGGAATCCAAGAGCACCCAGAGCTGAACACAATACTCCACATTTACTGCCTGGGGCATGAGACTACTTCCTTCAATCACATCCCTGATTCTTGTTGAGTTTACAATCCACCAAAACTCCTAGATCTTTTTCAGACAAACTGCTACCTGACTATGCTTTCCCCCCTGCACCCTGCCCCCATAAGTACAGATGCAGTCGATCCTTGAGACTAGTGGTAATAATTCTTTATCCTTCCTTAGATTTGTCCCATCTTTTTAGCCTGCCAAGGTCTTTCAGAATCTTTGTCATCCTACATGTCAGCTAGCCCTCCTAGTTTCACAATTTGGTAAGCATACCGTCAATGTCATTGATAAAAAAAACATCGACTAGAAGAACAGGGCCAAGGACACCTCTTTCCAGCTCAACTCCAATATTCTAATTCTGTAATTCGATACCCTGTGATCTCATCCAAGAAGCAAGCCCTGAAATACCCCTGTGTGCCCTCTGGTGGGGTCTGGGAATAATAATAATTATTATTATTATATCATCATTGTTAACCATCTATATCGTAGGAGAGGCTGGAACCTGGTCCTCTCTCAGTAGTTAGAACCTGGGCTGTCACCCACTGATTATCACCCAAATCTTATTTAGACGCGTGTGTCTCTTTGTCTCTGGCCCATGCCCCACCCTTAGCCATACCCATTCTTCTTGGCCCAGTGCTCGGTCAATGGAATCTCTGATGACAGTCATTATTTTAGTAATGAGCTTGGTTAGATTCGATAGAATATAGTAAAATACAAAGCAAAAAAAAATTGTTACGGGTATGTAACATTCTACTCATGTCCCAAGCAGTACTTCCCCAGGTGGTCAAAATCCCCTTACAGTTGGTATCTATTAACTGAAGCCTCCCTAGCCAAGCATGGGACCATTAGAAGTCACCATCTATTCATATACAGCAGCAGCACAGGGCATAGAATTCTGGCTTTGGCATTCGAGGACCCAAGTTCCAGAAGCAGCTTGCTGATTGTGACCTGGAAGAAGTCGTTGAACCTTGATTTCCTCCGTCACAGGATGCAAAGGGCCCTTCCAGCTAGAAAGCCTCCAAGAGCCTCCAAAGTGGGGCATAGATGCCAATCACATTCCTTCCTCGCTCAGCTTAGCCCTGGCCCCAGTTTCCTCTTCTGTAAAAGGGGGTTAATAGTCCCCCTGCTGGGAGTTGTTGCTCACCCAGGAGATAAAGAGCATGGAAGGCCTTTGGTCAAGAAGCTGCAGTAATTATAGAAGTGATGTACATTTCTAAAGCTCTGTCAGGTTTGCAAAGTGTTTAAGAGACCACAGTCTCATTGGAGTCCCACAGCACCACCGAGAAGCAAGAACAGCTAGGTCCTGACTGGTGTAATAAGGAATTCCCTGTAGTAGTCACATTATTTGGATTCTCCTTGCATATTTCCATTGGGCTGGAACCAATTACCATATTTTACATAATTATAGGGCCTGGTAAGTGGTGATGCAGTGTTTAGAGTGACAGGCCTGGAGTCAGGAAGACCTGAGTTCAAATCCAACCTCAGATACTTGCTATGTGACCTTGGGGAGATCACTTTACCCTGTTGGCCTCAGTTTCCTCATCTATAAAATGAGTTGGAGAAGGAAATGGCAAACTGCTCCAGTATATTTGCCACGAAAACCCCAAATGGGGTCATGGAGAGTCAGACACAACTGAAATGACTGAACAAAAACATAAGTATAACTTCCAATAGTGTAAATTTGAGTGTAGAGACCACTTTAGGGAATTTGTTATTAAGTAACGAATTCCCTGAAGTGGTCTCTATACTCAACAATCTTTACCTTCATTTTACAGATAAGGAAACTGAGGCTCCAAGAGCTTATATCTTGCCCATGGTCACATGGCTAGTGAGTATAGGAAGCAGGATTCAAACCCAGGTCCCTCACAACTCCAAGGCCAGTGTTCATTCTGTGAGAAAAATTGTACCAACTGGTCCGAATGAATGATTTTGTCCATGATCTTAGATGGTGTACCCCGTGCCTATGTTTGACTGTTTGTCATCTTGGGTTTTTGTTATCCTTCTTGCCAATGTGCAGGTCTGTCAGATAATGTCACTGACTTGGAAAAGCGGAGGCAGATCTATGGACAGAATTTCATCCCTCCCAAGATGCCGAAAACCTTTCTCCAGTTAGTGTGGGAAGCTCTCCAGGATGTCACCCTCATCATCCTGGAGATCGCTGCTATCATCTCTCTGGGGCTCTCCTTTTATGCACCACCCGGAGAACAGAGTGACGGTGAGTGTGGGATTGGCCTGGCCTAGCCCATGACAAGGGAGGAGGGCTGGCCCAGGATCAGGGAGGGCAAGGGAGGGAGCCCAACAATTCAGACCAGCAGATCTTGGGAAAGGAGAGACTCAGGCCCGCCCCCCCCCAGGAAGCTTCCAGTCCCACTGAGGGAGCCAGGCCTCACCCACAGGCAACACTCCAAGAATGGCATGTAGCCAAATGGGGAACAGTGTCGGGGAGACGATAGGGGCTCCAGTTCAAAGGCAAGAGAAATTCCTGAGGACCGGGGTAGTCCTGGAAGCTTTGATGGAGGCCGGAGGACTTGGAGATGCCTCTAGGCTGCCAGTGCCGTCCCGCTGACACTGCGGCACCCTCCCCAGCCCTGTTTTCCTTCCTCAAGTACTCAGAACCCTGTGATAACCCACCTCCCCTCTCCCCTAGGCAAAACTTGCATTTTCTTTTGGTGTAAATATTTGCTTTCCCCTTCACCCTCCCAGAGGTCTTTGCAGTTTTTGCAGCACCTGAGACGCTGCCCTCTCACACACGGGGCCCCACATTAACCACCTCGGGACCTTGCATCCACTCAGAACCATAGTGCATGAGCAAGAAACACATGTGTGTTTTCTCTTTCTCCAGTCATCCAGAAGATACTTAGTTCAAAGCAAAGGCTTTGTGAAATCGTATAGTAAGAAAAATCACGATAAACACTTCCCTTGCCCACAACTATACACACACTATCAGGGAAGACATGCATACATAGCACCTGGGGATGAGGGGTCATGACACATGCGTGTGTCTGGTGGGTGGCGAGGGGGGCCGGACAACTCGTACCTCCTCCGGTGATGGACCATTGAGATCTGATGTTGTCGTCTTCCCTTGCTTTCACTGGGCCCATTGAGGAGGGTATCCAAGAAATCTCATGCCTTCCAGGGAAGGAATCACTTGTCTGTTGTTTCCCTTCTGCCATATTATTAATTTTACAGAGAGAGAAACTGAGGCCCATAGGCTCCTAGATCTAGAGATGGAAGGGGCCTCAGAGGCCATCCTGTCCAATTCCCTCTTTTTACAGTGGAAGAAACTAAGGCTTAGGGAGGGGAGGAGACTTATCCAAGGTCATACATAATATCCTAGATCTAGAACTGGCAAGACCTTAGAAGTCATCTAGTTCAATCCCTTCATTTTACAGAGGGGGAAACTGAGGCCAAGGGAGGGGAAAGGACTTGCCCAAGGAAGTGGCAAAATAGAATTCAAACCCAATTCCTCCAACTCCAAATGCAGCATTTTCTATTTTAGCGTGCCCAACCCTGGGTGCTCTTTCCTTCCCACAGTCTCTACCGTCCAATTCAGCCAACATAATCAGGTACGCAAGTGCCCATGGAGGCCTCACTATCTGTTCTGTTGGCTAGACCCTTGGTGCCCAGGGCCTGGCAAGGTCCACTGGCCTTGACCCAGGGGCAGGGACCAGCTCTTTCTCCTCCTCTTCTGTCTCCTGACCCTCTCCCCAATCCCGCATGCTAAGGCCACATCAAACTGCCTGAACGATGTTGCCCTGCGCCTGCATGATTACAAACATGGCAGGAGCATGCCCAGGCCTATCTAAGCCTTTCCCTCTCTCTTGGGGGCAGCCTGTGGGAATGTCTCAGCTGGGGCTGAGGATGAGGGCGAGGCAGAGGCTGGCTGGATTGAGGGAGCAGCTATCCTACTGTCGGTCATCTGCGTGGTGCTGGTTACGGCCTTCAATGACTGGAGCAAGGAGAAACAGTTCCGTGGTCTGCAGAGCCGAATTGAGCAAGAGCAGAAATTCCAGGTCATCCGGAAAGGGCAGGTCATCCAGGTTCCTGTGGCTGAGCTCGTGGTGGGCGATGTCGCCCAGATCAAATACGGTGAGAGGGGATGGGGGGCTCATCACACCTTCCCAGGGGCCAGCAGGTCCTACTAAATGAGTTATATGCAAAGCGGGGAGGGCCAGGAGGTTCCCTTTGCTCTGAAACTTTCTTGTCCCATTTCCTATCCCTCATCCTCAGCTTCACTTGGCCTTCTAAAGTGTCAATTCCACCAACAATACTACTGGGCTTAGAACACGAACAGAGACACTCCTCCCCACTTATCCAGGGACCTCCCTCCTTTCCCCTCTCCTCATCAAGGAACACGTGGACTCTACAAGGAGCCCAAGTCTAATGGTAGCTGGCCTTTGTGGGCAGGTGGCACCTGGGCTCTGTCTTTGCCTAGGCTTGGCCTGGGGTACTACAGTGCCGCTTTGAAGATGTTTTTAATGTTCTTGCCCTTAGAGTCATCATCCCCTGGGACTAACCACTTCTATATACCATTACCAGGTGTGGGGAACCTGCAGCCTCGAGGCCACATGTGGCCCTCTAGGTCCTCAAGTGGGGCCCTTTGACTGAATCTAGACTTCACAGAACAAATCCCCTCTAGGTCCTCAAGTTCAGCCCTTTGACTAAATCTGAACTTCACAGAACAAATCCCCTCTAGGTCCTCAAGTGGGGCCCTTTGACTGAATCCAGACTTCACAGAACAAATCCCCTCTAGGTCCTCAAACACAGCCCTTTGACTGAATCCAGACTTCGCAGAACAAATCCCCTCTAGTGGGGCCCTTTGACTGAATCCAAACTTCACAGAGCAAATCCCCTCTAGGTCCTCAAGTGCGGCCCTTTGACTAAATCCAAACTTCACAGAACAAATCTCCTTAAGAAAAGGATTTGTTCTGTAAAACTTGGACTCAGTCAAAGGGCCGCACCTGAGGACCTAGAAGGCCACATGTGGCCTCAAGGCCACAAGTTCCCCATCCCTGCATTAGACAATACAGTTATGCCTTCCACGTCAAGACTTACCCCATGGAAGTTTCGATATAGCTTTCAATATATCACAAGTCGGCATAAGAAATAAAATGGGAATTTGGGGGGAATTTTGCAAAAGCCTTAGACAATACAGAAAAAGTTTAGAAACTCAGAAATGCATAAAATATATGTATAATATCAACATAGTTTATCTTCTAATGCCATAATAATTCAGACTTCTTTGGTATGAAGGGAGGGCCAAAATGTTTTACATAGATTTTTCCAGATCGCGGGGGTGCTATGCCCTTAACCCCCAAAGTGTGGAAGGGATAACTATCTAGACCCCCCCCATTTCCCCAGTGGAGCAGAGCACGGATTAAGGGGAGGCAGGGACAAAGGGTTGAATTCTAAGCACCCATCAACTCCAGGAGAAAAAAGGGGGTAAAGAGGAAGATTGCGGCTTGAAAGAAGGAGAAACTTTCTAACAGCACTGTTACAAAAATGGAGGTAGTGAGTTCTCCTTCACTCCAGGCAGAATCTGTATAACCCACTTGTCAAGAATGTTGTGGGGCGGTTCACACGCAGGTATTGGCCGGACTATGCCTTCTGAGGTACCTCCCACCCCGAGATTCTATGTTTCTGTGATGAGAGGAAGAAAGTGAAGGGGGAAGGAGGGTTGGTTGAGCCCTGACTGTTGCAGCTGCTTCCTGATTCCTTTTTTCTCTTGCTGTCCCTCTAGGTGACCTACTACCTGCTGATGGAGTACTCATCCAAGGCAATGACCTCAAAATTGACGAGAGCTCCCTAACAGGAGAATCAGACCATGTGCGCAAAGCAGTGGACAAAGATCCCATGTTGCTCTCTGGTAAGTAAGAGTACCAAGTCCTGACTCCAGGCAAACACTAGGAGTTTTCACTATGAGGTGAAACATGGACTTTGTCATGGGCTTTTCTTGGCTCAGATATTGGAGTGCTTTGCCATTTCCTTGTCCAGTGTGTCCCCATTTTACAGATGAACAACTGAGGCACATAGAGGTTAAGTAATAGCTAATAAGTGTCTAATGCTGGATTTGAACTGAGATCGACTCCAGGCCCAGTGCTCTATCCACTGCACCACCTAGCTGCCCCACCACTCTAGTGTTGTTGTTCAGTCATTTTTCTCCTGTTTCTTTTTTTTTTTAAGGCAATTGGGGTTAAGTGACTTGCCCAGGGTCACACAGCTAG